AAGAAACATTTCTTTTTGGTAGCTAGCTTCAAGGTATGAAATTGCTGCTTAATAAACTATCTTTTGGAATTCTTCAGAATTTGCAACGTGTGAAAAATATCCCTTCAAAAATGATCCCTCTTGAAAGACTCACCATGCTTTTTAGCACATCCAAAATGAACGAACTTATTGTCGACACTGATTGAGGCTCCAGAATTCTTGCATATCCAACAATTCTAAAAAGAGGATTCTTTTATAAAACCGAAAATGGGCTTCCAGCCCTCAATTCGAATAGAATTAAAAAGGGAACCAAAATAGATTAATAGGTCAGCTATCCTCTAACCTGCTTCCAAAACTGATGCAATTTCTCCTCCAGACAAGTCAGTTGATTTCCTTTCATTTGTATGTCTGGAGCCCACAGGATACAATCTCCATGAAACCAAACATCAATGCAGTACGTCTCGTTTTTTGATAACTGAAAGTATTTCCCTCCAATTTCGACATTATAGCTTTAAAATCACAGACATGTGAAAAAACTTAAAGGCAGTGATCACGATGGCTGGAGGGGGTTGCGGTTTTAGAATCGTTGGAGGTCATTGGTGAGATAGCGCTAACAAGGGAGGTCTTTCAGGGCAAGCCGCGCTTTTTCAAAACGGTTTCTTGCATATTGTAGGGACGCATGTAGGGAACACAAAACCATGTTTCATTTTCGCTGAACGGTTTTAGCAGTACCAAAAAAGAAGCATAAGGTACTGTTAATGGTTCGATCCCCGTGGCGACTAAATTTTGCATTTGGGTTGGCGCCTACGGTTTGGTGCCAAATCGCGCTAAATATCAAAATCAGATGTCAAATTCATCGTCAGGACCATTTTGAAGCCAACAAGTGGCCGCCAACCTTGATTGCAAAATTTAGTCGCCGCGGGGGATCGAACCATCAAGGTATCATTCACCACTTTTTTGGTACTACTAAAACCGTTCAGCGAAAACGAAACATGGTGTTGTGGTCCATACAAGACGCTGAGGGGTCAAGTCTACCAATGACGCTCGTCCTCCAGCCGTCGTGATCACTACCTTCAAGTTTGGACGAAAATGAGCATTTCAAAGCCCATTAGCCAGTTCAGTACCTACAAGGCCGGAACGTCTCCCCACTCTCTTACACTCTCATACTCTATCAAAACATTCTATAAATATTTTTATTAATTAATATCGAACTGACAATCGTTGCTCCCCTCGTGTCCTTGACATCCATTAACACTCTACATTATACCACTTACCAAAGTTCCCCTTTAGAAAAAGAACTGGAACATCAAAGCGATAAGATTAGCTGTTTTCTGAGTGACACTTGATTACTACTCCTTGTCATACTGTTGCAATGATAGACATGTTTCAATCCAAGCAACGATAACTGTTCCGCATAAAAGCACGCATGGATCAACATCTGTACACTGATAACAACTATGAGGTTGTTAGCCGGCATCGCCCTTCTTGGGTTGGCAATCGCCTCCACCCTGGTTTGGGATCCAAAGCCGCATATTACTGAGGATCGGTTCCGAGTTGGCAACGAGTATCGCTATGTCTTCGATGGCCAGGTCACCACTGGTCTTGCTCTCCCTAACACTCAGCAATCTGCAACTCGTCTTCAAGCCATCGTCACTCTCCAGCCGATCGATGAGCGCATCGTTTTGTTCCAACTCAACCATGTCCGCTTCGGATCCATCCAGGAGGAATTCGAGCCACGTGAGCTCCTTCCGTTTGAGCGCTTCCAGCTTGTGAAGCTTGACGAGGAGCACAAGGACATGCTGCTCATGCCCATTCCGATTCGTCTACAGGCATGGAATGATCAGCGACATCGAATTCTCTGAGGAGGACAAGCCATGGTCTGTCAACATCAAGAAGGCTATTCTCAACATGCTCCAGGTAAGGTTGAATCCATCCGAATCGGTTAAAAAGCTTCTAAAAAGTAATTTCAGATCAACATCATGAAGAGAGACGAGACCATCAAGAACGAGCGCGAGGAAGAATTCGAGAACAAGAACTTCTTCGTGAATGTTGAGGTACGAAAAACCTGAAGTATGCACCCAAGCCATCTAACTCAGTCAAAGTTTTAGCGAACCCTCGAAGGGGAGTGCGAGGTCGAATACACCATCAACGACATGAAGACCGAATTCGTTCAGTGGACCAAGTCCATCAACTTCCAGAAATGCAACGTGCGCCCGGAGGTGAGCTGCCTACCACACACATGGGCGTCTCAGGATTAGCGCACTTATCCGGTGATGAAACCTGTTTCAGGTGCAGTACGGAATCCGCCCACGTGAATTCAAGAAGATCCACGACGAGAAGCTCTTCAGCACTGTCTTCAAATACAAGGTTGTCGGCAACAAAGACGAATTCCTCATCCACGACGTTGAGCTCGAGTCCCAGTACAAGCTCCTGCCTCTGTCAAAGAAGCACGAACTCATCACCTCGTTCGTCTTCAACAAGATGACCCTCGTCTATGCTGGAAGGGTTGAGACTCAAATCCCAAGCGTGCGCCGTGATCGCAAGGAGACCCTCATCTACAACTTTGACTGGGAAATCGCGGAGGAGATGTTCGCAATGACTGGTGACGAGAAGTACCTGCACCGCATCCCTGAATGGAAGAACAAGGTCGAGCACATCGAGAAGCTGCTGACTCTCATCAGCCGTCACGTTGAGGAGAAGGTCGAGCTCGAGACCACCCACATGTTTGCCCGCCTTGTGAAGCTTCTGCGTCTCTGTCGTGAACAAGAACTCATCAAGATCCAGCGCTTCTTTGAAACCCGTGATGTCAACCACAAGGTCCTCTCGCTGTACTACGACGCTCTCGCGATGGCTGGAACCAAGGTGACCGTCACTGAGCTCGTAAAGAAGATCACCGAAGAAAGGATCGATACCCTCAAGGCTGCTCGCCTTCTCAAGTCTCTTGCTGAAATCCGGGTGCCATCGGAGATGATCGCCGACGAAATCCTCCGCGTTTGTGAGAGCGGTGTCGTCGAGAGGGTTCCTTACCTCAAGCAATCTTGCTGGCTGACCTATGGTGCCATCTTCAACGGACTGTGCAACAACGAGAAGCTCGCCGTCTACCACGTTGAGAACATGTGCAAGCGTGAACTCAAGGAGAAGGTCGTCCGCAAGCTGATCGACATGTTCAGGAGGACTGACACTCGCTACGAGAAAGTTCTTATGCTGAAGACCCTTGCTAACGCCGGAATTGATATCTCTGTCCGTGAGCTGGAGAGAATCATCTACGACAAGGAGGAGGAGAGAGTCATCAGAATCGAGGCTATTCGCGCTCTGCGCAAGCTCCGCTTCATGATGCCACGCAAAATCCAGAACATCCTGATGCCCATCTACAAGGATCGCACTGAAATCCCCGAAATTCGCATGGTTGCTCTGCACATGATCATGAAGACCATGCCCGAGCAGGTTGTTGTCGATCAGATCGTCCACCTGATGGAAGTCGAACGTGACCCACATCTCCGTGCCTTCACTTACAGGACTCTGAAGAACATTCTGGAAATCCCGGAAGTCCATAAGAAGACCGTGCACTACGTGAAGAAGGCTTTGAGGACTGTTGATACCGAGTTCTATGAGAACCTCAACAACCGTGTTCTCCGCTGGACTTTCAAGAACGACAACTACAGATATGGAGTATCACTTGACTGGCACAGCCTGTTCACCAAGGACGGTGTTCTGCCGAAAGAACTGCTCACCACTCTGGACACCATTTTCGGTGGAAAGTGGTACGAATACTTCCTTCAGCTCGGATTCTCACAGCAGAACGTTGATGAGATCTTGAACAAGGTGCTTCACATGCTGCAGGAAACCGATATGGAACATCTTGTTGTTCGTGGAAAGCGCTCCACCTTCTATCACCCAACCGAATTCTTCCGAACCATCTATGAGAAGCTGAACTTCGTCCGCCGCCATCCGACGAACAAGGATGATTCCCATGCGATGATGTACCTCCGCTACAAGGACATGGACTACGTCTTCCTGCCGCTTGACGTTGACACCATCCCCAAGTTCATTCAGAACATGTTCCATGATGGAAAGATTGATCTCGACGAGCTCGAGCGCTTCCTTGTGACTGGAACTCAATTCACCAGGACTGGTGGTTTCTACATCTACGAATATCTGAGGAGGATCCCAACCACCCTTGGTCTTCCATTGGTGCTCACCTCAAAGATGCCAACTGTTGTCACCGTTCAGGGCCACATTAATGTTGAGATGGAGCCCAAGGAGGCCCGAGTGTTCGAAGGACTTCGCCTCCGCTTCTTGCTGAAGCCCAAGATTGCTACTACCCACATCGTCAAGGCCGTCGTCCTGAGCCCAGTTGTTGAGAGCGGATTCAAGATGCTGCACTCTGCAACCTTCGACAAGCCGTTCGATACTGAGACTGAGCTTACCTGGAGGCACAAACTCCTCCTGAAAACCACTGTCCGTCCCTTCGAGCACAAGAAACATGTCCTCCACCTTCAGTCGCGCCCAGTCACCTTCATTCGCCACATGAGGAAGACCCACGTATACCCCGAGCCCGTTGAGGTCACTGTTCACCTTCGTGAGCACCTCTACCCAATCAAGTCGTTCGAGCGCACCTTCTTCAAGAGATACGGAATGATCGTGAAGCTTACCGGAACCATGCACCGTCCTATTATCCGCTACATGGAAACCATGCTCAACCCGCTTCTGATCGGATACAACACAGTCGACGTCCACATGGAACCTACTGAGGACTTGCCGAAGGAGTACGTCTTCCACATGGAGATGGAGAACTTCATTCCCGAAAGGATGGAGAAGCCTGAATTCGACAAGCTCTTCATGCACAACGACGAAATGTTCAATGTTGAAGTCGAAGATTTCGAGCCAAGGCGCATTGGTGACCGCAGGACTCACCTGACCACCTATCTCAGGAACTTCGAAATCGAAAAGGCGTTCAAGCACCGCCTGTTCTTCAAACTTGAGACCATCGGAACCCGCGAGAGGCACGAGGCTGAGATGGAACTGAAGGTCCTTCACGACAACATGTACCGCTTCTGGCGCACTTTCTTCTTTGTTCGCCGCACCCCAATGGAGATGGAAACTCGTGACTGGGAGATGAAGGTCGACATTCAGACGGTCTATCCCGAAATTCCGAAGACCCTTAAGATGCTGAAGGAGCAGATTCACCGCGAATGCCACACAATGATCGATGCCATGTGGGGAAACGAGCACAAGAACACCGTCTTCATGCGCATCCAGGGAGAGCAGAGCCGTGAACAGAAGATGTGGATGAAGAAGCTTGATCGCGAAGAGAACAGACTGACCGAGATGGAGAAGCTCAAGATGTTCTCCTACCTGAACCTCTACAAGCTCATGGCCAAGTACAGGCTCACACCAGAGACTGAATACTACATGCACAAACTGTTCACCATGCTTAAGACTTGGTATCTGTGGCACACTGAGTTCGAGAAGGTTCACAACAGAGATGGAATTCTTCGCATGCAGCTGGAGATCGAACCACTGAACCGCCGCATGTTTGACCTGCTTATTGAGACTCCTGTGGAGCGTGTCGTGATGAAGAAGCTCACTATGCCGTTCAAACTGCCAATGGTACACTTCCATGACATGCACACCCTTGAGCGCACCGAGATGAAGCATGTGGTACACCACCTCATCAAGAACAACCGCCCAGAATGCATCGTCAAGTCCTGGGAAATCAACACCTTCGACAACCTTCTCCTCAAGACTCCTCTCACCAACTGCTACACCGTTCTGGCCAAGGACTGTACCAATGAGGAGCCACGATTTGTCGTTCTCATGAAGAAGATCCACAAGGACCGTGAGGAGAAGAGACTGAAGATCGTCACTCGTGAACATATCTATGTGATGGAGATTGTTGACGAGAAGCTCATCGTCAAGATCAACGACCGTGAGATCCGACCTGAGGAATTCAACCGATACCGCATCTACAGGGTCGACGATATGCTCTACAAGGTCGACATCAATGATGTTGTTGTGCTGTTCGACGGCATTGAGGTCAACATCAAGCTCTCGCACATGTACAAGAACAAGCAGTGTGGAATCTGTGGACACTATGATGGCGAGGTGAGCAACATTTCCTAGCAGTAGCTTTGAGCTTGACGGAGCATTCACTTGCAGAAATGGAACGACATGCGCCGCGCCGACAACGTGGAGACCACCATGGTCGAGGACTTCCACCGCAGCTACATCACCAAGGACGACGAGTGCGAGATTGACGAGAGGGAGTTCACCATGAAGCGCAATCACCGTCTTGAGGAGGACCTCAGGCACGACAACTACCGCTACAGAGAGGAGAAGGAATTCAAGGAGGACGAGCTTATGTTCAAGGACACCGAAGAGTACAAGGAGGTTGAGAAGTATGAAGAAGACCGCGAGGTCGAGAAAAAGAGTGAGTTAATTGTTTAGTAGCGTTATTCTGCAGTAATATCTCTAATTTGGGGAGTTCAGAGCCGATTCTTCGCACTCGAGTCATCGAACGTAAGAACCTCGTCTGCTTCTCTGTCGAACCACTCTACGAGTGCCCAGAACACACCACCAAGGTCGACGTGAAGAAGGAAGAAGTCGAGTTCGTCTGCCTGCGCACTCATCTTCCTGAGACCAGGCGCCTCCTTCGCAAGGCTCGCGTTGAGGTGATTCCGCGCCGTCTTCTCGATGGAGAACTCTGGACCACCACCGTCCATGTGCCCAGGATGTGCACTGTCTATTGAAAATTTTTAGTGTTGCTATAGAAAATCAATAAATATCTAAAATCATATCTTGTGGTTAGAGTAGAGCAAGAGCAACGACACATCTATTTTTCATAAAAGACGAAAGATTAGAAACATAGGTGAGGGGTAGCTAATATTATCGCCAGAGTGACCAATGCGCACATGCTCATTTCAACTTGGAAGGAGACATTGATGACAAATACCAAGTAAAGACAATATTCTCAAAATATTCCCATTTTTTAGGCCGGCCTAATTTGGACAGTACAGAATCAAGCCTGTAGGATAAAAACAAATATGGTAAACACGAAAAACAATAGCACCGTCGAATTGCTGTACTCAGAAAAGTACAAAGTACCATAATTGACCAAGTGGATGAGAACAGCATTGCTTTTATCCTTTTTGAGATGGGCCACGCATTCTAGGTTTACATATTCAGAATAGTAGCAGCAATTGGAAACAATATGGCTTTGGAGAACTCGGCAAAATAGGTGCCAGCCCATCAACAAGTGGTCTAGAAGCCATGAGCTAATCTAGAAGCATTTTACTGAGAAAAAAAGATGGAAGGCTTGGCTGGCGTGGTGACGTTCGATCTGGTCAACGGTCATCTTGGTCACGTATGTAGCCCAAAATATGTCATTTAGAGAAAAAATAATTATCATGAATCAGGGAGGACTAGCTGCAAGAAAGAGCATTTGGATACATAAACTCATGCTGGTTGCATTGCAGAGTCAGGATCTCTTAGAGTTGAAATAAAAAGCAAAGTCTTAGAAAAAATATCCACCAACCCCTCTTCATCCACCACCCTTTAGGATCCACCATGGAACCGACATGGTAATAAAACATAATAAACAGTTTCAGACCCTGCTGCACCACTACGCATCACTAGAAGAGCTCTAGATGAAGACCAAATCCTTATCCTTTGCCTCGATCTCACAGAACCCCTTTCCTCTTCTCACTACAGTTAAATCGAACATGGCTAGTACGAGAATGGAATTATTGGTACGTCCCCTCGTTCTCATGTATTCGAACAGAAATAAGCCACAAAAGTAGCCTGCCACGGGATTAGCCCTCCAGGAATGGATAATGAACCGAAGTGGCCATATGCAATGAGACCTACACTGTTGGATGTTTTTTGGACGCTGATCTCGAATCTGCTTCCAAATCTGCCAAACGATTTTCTGAACGGAGTTATGAAGCAAAATAGAACAGCGTGGGATCACGGGCGAAAGGTCGTAAGATCGATCTGTGACCGTGATTTGACTACCAATTGCTTCTGGAGGTACTCTGGAACACGAATCTAACACCTCTCTCCTGCAAAAACATCTGTCAAGCATTCTGCGGGCTCCATAGGTAGCCGTTAGCAAGCAGCGCCCAAACTTGTTAGGAATTCCTCGCAAATTCTTTGTGCGGGTAACTATAGGCAAGCGTTGATCAAGTAACGTAGTTGGGAGCCTTTTCAATTTTGCAGCGAAGGCAAAAAAGAGAACCCGCCAGGGAATCGATCCTACGACGTCTCGCACGTGAACCCGGACTACTACCGCTGCACTATTTCCTTCATAACTCCGTTCGGAAAATCGTTTGGCAGATTTGGAAAGCAGATTCGAGATCAGCGTCCAAAAACACATCGTACAGCGTGGATCTCATTGAATATCGCCAGTCTACCCTCCCTGGTTAGTATGTCCAACTCGCACTGACTACTGGTAATGAAACGCGGCATCTGTCTGAATTAAAACGACGGGAATTCTATCATTCTTGCAGCCCGCACAACAACCTTCGGAAATGACTTTGTTTGCGAAAAAATGAGCAGATTTCGAATCTACAAGAATTCAGCTTTCTGAAAATATCGAATCCGTCCTTAAAGACTACTTTGACGAAAAATGCTCCGTTGAGGTGATTTGGATACGTTCTTTGGACTGCCCCCAAAATCCTCGCAGTGGTTCTGGTCTTTGGCTGGTGATAAATCTATCAAAAAAGTAAATCTATTGGTAATGATCACCCCCCCCCCCTGTGGGATGAGCCGGAAAGCTCAGTTTCAGGGCTAAGCTTTTGGAGAGGGGAGAGACTTCGGTTACGGAACAATTTTCGTATTCTCCGGAGCTCGTCCCTGCTGTCTAGGCTTAGTCGATGGGTCTTTTCTACAGAGTGCCCCCCCGAGCCACATT